TTGTGTTTTCCTAGGAAATAATTCATTTTATCTAAGTTTTAAAAAATATATTTGCATTGTGCATAGTAGTCTTTTCTGACTTTTAAAAATGTTCTGTTTTAGTAATTTTCTTCTGTCGCTTTACTTTTGTATTTGTGTTTTTTCCCTTTTTTCCTTGATTCTTTTGATTCTTTTTCCCTAAACAATGAATATTTTGATTGATTTGTTCTACTGGTTTTGTGTTTTCTGTCTTACTGACTTCTACTTTTATCTTTATTGCTTTCTTTGGCTTCTTTTGTTTTTCCCTCTGGTTCATTTTTCTAGGGAGGTGTTTTTTTCACTGTTTACATTATTTTATTTGTATGGATTCAAATATTCATGGCTATACTTTTGTTCCTAAAACTACTTCAGTTGTATTTTATAGATCCTGTTATACAATATTTTTATCTTAGTTTGTTTCCCCTTTGTTCCAAGAGGGTTTTTTCTTAAGGGTTTTATTCCAGGTAGAAAGAATGGCCTTTCTTTGTATATTATTACTTAAACTTTTTTTTTTTTCATTATGATCAGAGATTTTCTTTGCCACTTAATATATTGTTGGTGTTCATGAATGGTCCAGGTACACAAATTTTTTTTAGACACGGAGTCTTGCTGTGTTTCCCAAGATGGTCTTGAACTCGTGGCCTCAAACAATCCTCCTGCTTTGGCCTCCCAGAGAGTGCTGGGATCATGGGCATGGGCCACCTGCACCAAGCCCCCATGTACACTTTGTTTTTTTGGAGACAGAGTCACACTGTCGCCCAGGCTGGAGTACAGTGGTGCAACTCACTGCAATCTCCGCCGCCCAGGTTCAAGCGATTCTCCTGCTTCAGCCTCCCCAGTAGCTAGGAATACAGGCATGTGCCACCCCACCTGGCTAATTTTTGTATACTTAGAAGAAATGGGGTTTCACTGTGTTGGCCAGGCTGGTCTCAAACTCCTGACCTCAAATGATCCAATTGCCTCGGCCTCCCGAAGTGCTGGGATTGTAATCCCCTGTGTATACTTTAGAAAGTGGATATTTTCTTGTCAAATTTTGATAGAGATCCCTCATGTCTAGTTATTGATGATATTGTCTGTGTCTTCCATGTCTGTATTTTTTGTTCACTTGATCTGTTTTGGACTTAGAGGGGCATATTAATATCTGCTTTCTTATAAGTGTATTTCTATCTTTTTTAACTTTTGCAATTTCTGCTTTATAAAGGGGGCTACTGTATTTTTGGTGCATAGATTTTCACAACTAATATTATTATGAATTATATTTTTAGCATTATGAAGTGAGCTTCTTGAAGGCCTTTGAGCCCAAATTTTGTCTCATTGCAGGGTAGCAATCTCTATTTTCTTATTGCTTGTATTTGCATTCCTTAGGACTGTATTATGTAAGAGGATCATACATGCCGTCTGTTACCGTGTGCCCTCTGCTGCCAGTTGTGGCTGTGTGACTGACTTCGACTGATAAAGTATGAGTGGAAGGCACTTGTGCCATGGCTTTTTCCTTCTGTAAGAAATTAAGAAGAGTATATATACCGGATAAGTGGTACATTCCACAGTAGAGAATGATGACACTTGGAGAAAGAGCCAGCAGTCACAGCCAGTCTGCAGTAACAAGTCAAGTGACTGAGAGAAGCCTTTGGGAGACATCAGGGTTATTTGCTGTTACGACAGCGCTAACAAGAGCTGCTTGATTTGTTTGGTATACTTTTGACCATCCCTTTATTTTAAGCCTTTCGGAATTGGTATTTTAGTTGTGTTTCTTGTATTGAGCACAAAGTTGGGTTTTATTTTGTGAGCAGATCTGAAAATGACAAGTATATGATTGGTTCTTAACTGTCATACCACTATATGTACTGTATAGTATATTTTCATTGTTATTTGTCTTCATGTCATCTCTTTTCTCTTTTTAGGAAGGTTTGTAATTTTGTTCTACTGGTTACCTTTATGCTATAAATGTTTTTAAATATCCTTAGCTCCTTTTCCTTACTTAGGTGCCTATT